TGACACCAAAAATGGCAAAGGGATTCATTCTATTGGACATCTCGGACACAAGCACTAGGGACAGTGCTTTGGTTAGCTTGGGGGAGAGAGTTTTATGGAATACTCACATTCATACTCTTGTTAAAAAAATTAATAAAAGCTTGTTAAGTTGAATAGAAAAATGTGGGAAGCTGAGATGAAAACCCGAAAGAGCACCTAGGCAAAATGAGAGAATGAGAGAAAGTATTTTCTTTTATTTCTGCAGGATCCTAAGGGTAACGAAAAAAAAGTTGAGGTTGATAAAAAAATATGGAGTTGAAGACCCCTCTTTACTGTTATATTTTTGGGGATACACTTTATGTGTTTCTAAAAACACTCTTGGATTTTTGTGTTGATACTCTTGTCATTTTAAGGACTTTTTTTTACTGGATTTGGTTTACTCGAGACGAGTAAAGGTTTAAGTGTGGGGGTATTTGATATGCACTAATTAGTAGTGCATGAATGTATATTTTTATGATTGATTTGTGTGTATTGTTTACCGTTTTATTTAGTTTGTAAACATTTATGTGAATTTAGTTTTAATTGTATTTTAATCTTCATTTATAAGTTGTAAAGTAGAATTCGGAATTATAGTGTTGAAAAGGAGGACTTTGAAGTGAAGAAAAAGGAGATTGGACTATCCAGGAGCTGAAACCCGACCGGGTAGAAGACTTCACCCGGTCGGGTCTGATTTAACAGACGAAATTTCTTGGAAAATTACTAGACCCGGTCGGGCCCACTACCTCACCCGGTCGGGTGAGAAGTGACTGGGGACAATCCGGCGTGCGAAGATCACCAGAACGTGGCAAATATTTGATTTTGACTGATACCCGGTCGGGAATGGCACTTTACCCGGTCGGGTATCCGCCCCAGGGTGTTGAAAACACCTATAAATAGCACACTTTTCCTTCACTTTTAATCATCCCTTATTCTATACTCCTAAGCTCAGTTTAGAATAGCATTTCTTATATTTTTATAGCATGTTTAGTCTCCAAATGAGGAGCTAAACTTCAATTTCTTGGTTTTGCTCTTGAAGCTTGTTGATTATTAAAGTTGTGAGTTATTTTCTTAACTTCTTCTCTTGATTATTAATTCTTCCCTTAATCTCATTCTATATTAATGTTGGAGGGTTGCTAAGTGACGATTAGTTAACGTTCCGACATTAATTACTACTAGAAACGATCAACGAACCGATGGTTAATCGTTGATGGTTTCACAAGTAAGTAACTTTGGTTTATTAATGCACGGTCGTGGTTAATAGACTTAAGAGGGATCAATTTTGTTGGTTAAACCGAAACCGTTGTGTTGAGGTTATCAATCTCAATTGATTTCATCAAGGAGTTAAAAAGATTGAATGCTACTATTATATCGGTATACGGCGTTGTTTTATATTTGATTAATAGTAAGAGTTATTAATGAACGGTCGTTGTTAATGACTACCCTCAATGAATTGGAGATACTCCTCGATTGAGTATTCGAGAGGTGATAAGTTATAGATATAACAAGGATCGACTAAAATATATCAACAAGTGGAAAGTAGCAAAGCCAAGTCCCTTTTATTCTTGAATTAAATCTCATATAAGTCGTTCATCTTAGTTTCTTATTAAATCAAATCATTCAAATCCCCCCCCCCCCCCCCCCCCTTTATTTACATAGTTTTATAAAAAGAGAAGTATTCCTTTCCCTTGTGGATACGAACTCTACTTCACCTATACTACGTATAAGTGTTAGTATCGAATTATTTTGACGCACCATGACAAAGTGCTCGTCATTGAACCCAGGGCCAGGGGAACCCCCCTACATTTGCGGACTGGGGCGGTAATGAGGTACATGTTCTTTACTTACCCCTTTTGGAGACTTTTGATGTAGCAGTGCTTTATAGTTGGGGTAGTGCGACTTTAGCATACCTATATTGGCAGTTGTGTCGAGGTTGCCATTGTCAAGGTGGCGAGATGGGTGGTTTTTTTGCTCATACAATTATGGCCGTGGGAGCATAGTCATATTGGTAGACTTGTCATACTGCGATATCATGGGATAGATGGTGGTCCTCTTCATGATACTTTGGGTCTACACGATTGATCTGTACTTGGACCGCATCATGTCTGTGGTGAGGACCCTTTGGGTCGTAGGTACATTTATGAATTTTGTTTAATTTTTATTTTATTTTATGTATGCCGTATTGGAATCCATTTTATATTCTTGTACATTACTGTGTGTGAGATAGCTTTTTGCTGACGTCACTCGCACGTCATCTACGGCTGAATTAGGGTATTATCGAGATGCATTAGATGGCATGTGTGATGATCACGTATACCCTGTATATCGTTAAGTATAACATATGTTGTTTTATATTTTTATAAACAATGATGTCATAATATTTTGTATTATAGATGATGTGGATGCCATACACCTATGAGATTCTAGTATAGTTGCCTCATGTTGACCGAGAGCACACTGAGACATGGCGAACACGTGTGCCCTTGATTTGTTTTGATGTAGTGGAGCATCACATTCCTGATCGCGTATTACGACAATTCAGGTAGCAACAAGTTGTTCCTGCTCCTTGTGATATTTCTTTGGACTTACACAAGATCGACAGACGAGGAAAGCACACTGAAGATTGGGGGATGCACCATATTCTGTATACCACCATGTGGGATGAGACAACTAGCTGATCGATTTATGAAACATTGGATTTATTAACTTTATGTCTGATAGATTAAATGTCTAGAGAGAAGTGAGAGCTAGAGAGAGAAGTGCAATATATGCTTCAATAGAATGATTTTGTAACCCCTATAACTACCTCCAGAGGAAGTATTTATAGGAAAAATACGGGCTGGGCTCCCAAGCCTTGGGCTTGGGAGGCCCATTTACAACTGGACCGCTACTGGGCCGAATACAAAGCCACTGGTGGGCTATACAAATGAGTAAGTGTAAAATCCGGTTCTGTGAGTCTCCTGTGGCCGACGAGGGTCTTGGCCGACGAGGGCACGGCCGACGAGGGCACGGCCGACGAGGACACCCTGGTTCCTTGGCCTCAAGATCATATTCTGGGTTGGCCCCTCTTCGGCCGACGAGGGTCTTCTGCCCGACGAGGGCACCGCGTAGTGGTTGTGCTTTCTGTTCTGAGTATGTGGGTCTTGGGGCCTAGACCCATATACTCCATCAATGTCATATTTCTAGTATCGTGATCAAATGTAGAACATTGATTCGTTGTGTCTCGACTATGTTTTAATTTTTAGCAACTTATATTCACAATGAAGAACAACTTTTTGATGTGTTTGAGTTGGATGTAATGCAATGAGCATGTTTTTGTGATTTTTCCAGTTGAATAAGATGTGAACATGTTTTTGTGTTTTTTTCACGCCAAATAGAGTGTTGTGTAGTTATTGAAGATGAGAGTCGACACTCCAAGAGGCGGCTTTTCAATAGTAAAAGGAGAGCTGCCACTTCAAGTGGCGTCTTTTGTGCAGTAATAGAAGAGCCGCCACTGCACTTCGAGTGGTGGGTTTCGTTAACCGTGATTAATATCAACAGTATTTTGGGAATTATTTTCAACCCAGCAGTATTTTGAGAATTATTTATTTAATTACCATTATTCTGGAGAAAAACTCGAGATCTAACGCACTATTCAAATAAAAAGGTTCAAATAAAGTAAATTATAAAAGTGAGATCCGTGTATATCTGATCCATGCGACTTGGAAGTTGGATCAAGCCTTTTCATTTATTATTTCCTCACCGTATGATTTTGCGAGTTTTTACATAAGAATGTTACTTTTGAAATGACTACACTCCAAAACACCGTATTTAGTCTTCAATTTTTCCCTCTCTCGTTCGATCCATGTGACTTGGATTGTACATTGTGCTCAAAGGTTGTTGTTGTTGATGATAAATTGATGATCTTTTTATAGGATGGTTGCCCCGTTATAAAAAAAATACTCCATATACTTCTATCGGATTCAAAAGGAAAGCGTGTTGCCGTTAAGTACTACAAGAAAGCCCACTCCTCTTAAGTTATATGCCTGTTGTCCTCAACTAAACTAAGCCAGGTGGTAGAAGGTTTAATTTCTTCTTCCTCACTGTGAAGGTGAAAAGGCTCCTTTCATCACTAAGGTACAAATATGAGTTGCAACTTAAGAACAAGTGGGATTCCAGAGAAGAAGGTATATGGTAAGTAATTAAATATGAATTGATCCCTTAATATTATAGTGACTTCATATTCTATTTTAATATTTTTAGAGGAGTTAGAGGTGAAGACCAAGTTGAAGTCGTAAACTCAGAATGAGTATATTATGGTGTTGTATTTGAAAAGAAGAAGAACAAAAAGAAGGAGGAGGAGGAGGAGGAGAACTGCAACGACTCCAATATGGTCCAATCTGGAGGAGGGTTCCAATCTGGAGGAATGGAACTCTCCTCTTCTTAATGAGATCCTAGTTTTCAATTATTAAAGGGAAGCAATTCGATGGATTGAAGTTATTCTCGACTTCGATGGCAAACTTGGGAAAGAATAGAGACTGGAGAGCAACAGCTTTGATGGAGAGCAGCAGCATCGATGGGAGAAACGCAGCTCGGTGGATGAAATCGTAAGCACCGAATAGATAGAGGCGGTGAAATTGGGTTTAACTAGTGGAAGGGTAAAAGTATAATCTAGAGTCCTATTTGAGGAATAAAAAACTTGATGTCCCATTTTAAAATTTATTAGTCCATGTTTTAGTCTCATTTGAACAATTTCTTAATTATCATGAAGTAGTGCAACTACACCGGCCACAATCACAATAGTAGACCCATCCTCATTTGGAAAATTTTATTTTTTGATGTTTATTTTTGAGTTTATTAGAGCTAATGATGAAGTCATGTTGCCCTTATATTCATCATCTACACAAGAAAAGTTAAGCCACTGTTTCATAAGAGATAGAGTTAGCTGTACATGTAAAAGCAAAATAGTACAGTGATCAAAACTTGGAGTGAACCCACAAAAGATAATCAAACTCCCCAAAAGATCAATCCATTCCATAGTATAAAACTTATGAATATGGTCCATCATATCTTGCTTTCTTTTTATATATATTCCAGCAGCATGACAACTCTGCTTCTAATTTGCAGACCTTATAGTGTGTTTCTCATATGGGTTCTTTTTCCAAAATGCGTTTCTGAGGCATAGCACCACACAAACTACCAAAACTATAGCCATCATCACTCCCAAGCAAATCGCCACATTCTTGGTTGTTGCATGAAAATTGACACCTCCCCAATCTACAATAATGGCAAATAACATTAATTAAGAACTAACAATATTTTGCACCTTAACTAAGAATACTCTCTTCTCTTGAAAGTACCATTTTTGCACTAATATAATAATTGCAATAATTATTCATAGTCAAATAAGTCAAGGTAGTACGGAGTACGATATATACGTCGAATGGCACCATATGTTCTCATTAATACTCCCTTCGTCCTAAATTGTTCTGCAAAGTCAACATTTTTTGGTCAACCAATAATAAAAGTCAATTCTCCCTATCGTCATTTGACTCATTTTTTAATAATTAAAATTTACATATTCAGAAACTACATTAAAATCTCTTCAAAGTTGCAAACTCCAAATTAGAATACAATTAAAAACTGACATCCTAATTAAGCAAATAAAATGAAACTATTTGATCAAGAAAAGTCAAATTTGCAAATCAATTTGGGACATAGTAATATTTTAAAGTACTATGTACTCCGTGCTACTTGATACGTAGTATGTCCCATAGTTTGACTTGTTTTATTACAAAATGAAAAATTTAACGAAATAGGATTTCTTTTTGCGAAATAAGAGTAAATTATTGCCGTTTTGAAATCATAATGCTATATTTAGGAGTTGAGAAAATTCAACTAATCAATCAATTTTATATGAATCTCTTGAATAATTTTTCATAGATGATTCCACTATAAGCTAACAGAAATTGGCAGATAAACAGGAGGAGATGAAAGAAGTACTACCGTCGTCCGAGGTGGGGGAAAAGCTGTCTTCCTTTCTAAGAGTGTAGCTGATAAAACACTTCTGAAGATACAACTGAGCATAACTAGAAGCAGCACCACAGCTACTTCTCAAACTCTGAATTGCAGCATTCAGACACACCTCACATTCATCAACCCCTAAATCCTCTTCACACTGAACCAACACCTTAACTGCAGATCCATTATTCCCATACTCCCCCTCATAGAACCCATTCACAACCTTCTCCGCCATCGCCTCAAGCGCCTCTATGCCCACGCTGTCACCGAACCCGAACCCTTTCGCGGTCGATCCAGACGTCTCCTCGCCGCACTTCTTGAAAAGAAACTGAGTGTCGGTTTGCTCGAACCCGGACGCGTTGTAGCTCAGGTAGCACCCGACCAGCTGCACTCGGCTCACCGTCGAGTACCCGCACTTTTTCTTGGAGACTTCCGAAGCTTCCTCCACGCATTGTCTGCAGTCGGAGTGGGAGAGGTTGCCTCTGCACTGGAAGAGGCCGGAGAGGGGTGTTGTGGCGGTGGGGACGGTGGCTCTGCTGAAAGTCATGGTTGCTGACTGGGATGTTAGGGTTTCGAAGAGGGTGTTTAGGGTTTCACGGTATGAAGAAGAAGCTCCAGGTTGCTGGTCTTGTAGTTTCTGGTTTCCACACCCTCTAAAGACAATATCCCTGTACTGGGAACAAAGGCATAGAAGTGGGAGAGAAGGGAAGAGAACCACGAAGAAGAAGCTATGCATTTGAAAATGGCGGAGTATAATGTACTAATGTATGTCTTAAATTATTTAGTTTTTGATCAAGAACTTAACAACTACCAGCATCATATGGCCTCCCAAGCTAATCAACTATAGAGCATTAATATAGAGTGAAGAAGAAAGAAAACTATCAAAGGGTATTTGTTTGTGCAAAACATTGTCTGTGAATCGATGTTCACAGACAAAAAAATTAAACTTTCACAAACATAGGTGTATATAAGAGTGTGTACAAACATCATTTTTGTATACTTTTACATAAATACTCTCATACTACATATGTTGATTGGCAATTTTTTTTACCTCTATTTGACTTTTTTATGCCTATAGCTAGGAAGGTTGAGGATTCCAGGTGTTGTTGGTGAGTTTTCTTGCAAGCTGGACAAAGCAAAACTTTTTGCTTATATGGAAACAATTCCTTTACGCAGGATGAATTTTCAGTCACGCCATCTACCCTATAGGTCTGTGGCCTTCACAATTTTTTAGTCACATACAGCAGGGTTTTATATATTACTACCTCCGTTCCCATTTTAACTTCCAAATGGGTTTGACACAAAATTTAAGATAGTGGATATTGTGTGGTGGAGAGTTGTGCAGAGGAGAGAGAAACGTGTAAGAAATGTTGTGAACCACAAATTCTTTACCAAAAAGGGAAAGTGGAAGTTTTAATTGGAACGGACGAAAAAGGAAAGTTGGAAGTTTATTTAGGAACGGAGGGAGTAATTGAATTGCTCAAACAACATTTAAATTTTATGCCAAACAACATATTATTTGATGACATCAATATAACATTATATTATCAAGTGGAGGTCACAAATTCCAATTCATCACAATGTTGATTATATGAATTATAAAATTAAAATGGATAGAATTCAGCAAGACAGTGGGAGATGGTCGGACAAAGTCTTTGGATGACAAAATAAGAAAAAATAGATGAGTTCATGAGAAGGACTACTCCGTATGTGTTAGTGACTTATTAGTGTAAATTTATTCGAAACATGTTAATTAAAGATTAAGTAATTAAATTGGGGAATTTTTGACGGCCATCTCCCCTAGGTTTAGGGTTCGTAATCTTGTTTTCTTCTTTGATGAAGTGCGGCTCCAAGCAGGTAGAAGAACATCGACGGGTCTCCAAGGCTGTTGATCGAGTAGGTGGGTTGATTTTCCGAGTGTCATTCTTGTGCGGCTTTCTTCTTCGGCAGTTCCGCAACGCGCACCAATATGGCGCAGATCGTGAACAAGGCCAGGGCTAGCGGGGTCGCGGCAGGATGTGGATGAGGTAGACCCAACGCAAAATAGTTTGGAAAAGTTGATCGGACAATGCGATGGTTGGAAGATCAGGACTGAGGATGACGAACTGGTCCTCGAAGAGGAGGACGTTGCGGACTGCATGAAGTAGTCATTTCCGAAGGCTCGTCCCCCGCCAAAGCCGCCACCTTGAAGTGCAAGAGAGTCTAGGGTTTGTGTTTTTCTTTCGAATTGCATGTAGTTTTGAGCGTGTTCTTATTACCGAGCAGTAAGATTCTAGATTTTAAGTCAGATGATGAGAAGTCTGATTTGCCTGTCTTGGCTCAGTTATGCCCGTTACAGGATCAATGAATATTATTGCTTTTACGGAGGTGATAGATTCTAAGTTTGTTTCAAGAGCGGACGACTGACAGGAGGCCTTTTGTCATTTTGCATCCTGCTTTATTCGTGATTGTATTATCAATCAAGTGACGAACGTTTTTTTTGATTTAATAGAATTATTGGTTTTACAATAAAAAAAGATTAAGTAATTTGGGTATATGACAAAATGTACCGAAACAAATTAGTTAGGAATAATGTCATGTAAAATAATTCAATATCTAGTTAAGCACGTCGAAATTTAACATCTATTTCGGGACACTTGGACAAATGGTTTTTGGTATTCCTATCTTTGTAAAGTGCATTGATTTGGTGCTGCCTTCGTAGCATTTGCTTAATTTTGTGTGCAGAAGTGAATTTCTCATTTTACACAAACAAATGCTCCCTATGGACTTGCTATTTTGTGCGCAAAAGTTTTCCTCATGCATGTACTAGTATTTATTATAGACAAATTATTTCAAAAGTCTTTTTTGAAGAGATTTCAAAAGTTCTTCCATTTCAAAAGTCTTCTTATATTACGGAGATCCTATTCTTTTATAAAGTTAACAAAATTTATTTTAACTTTGCAAAAAAAAAGTAAAAATTCTACTCATTAACTTTCTAGTGATGTTTTCTCGTATTGAAAACACTTTAGAATGTTTTTAATTGGACTAAAATTTTATAGTATAGTATAGTTATATTTGATTTGGTTTGGTCTATTTAAATCTGATATGATTTGGTCGAATCTGAACTAGTCTAGTATGATTTTATAGATGTTTGGTCTTTGTGTATTTTACAATCGCTGAATTCTGATCTGGTTCGTTTAAATTTGATCTAGTTTGATCTGATTTGGTCTGTTTATGTCTGATCTGGACGGTTCAGATGTGATCTAAACCGGGAGTGAAGCAAAGGTTGTTCATTCATTTTGGAACAATACACATGTTTATTCACATATACAGAGTTTCAAGAGCAATGTGTTTCTTTTATTATATGGGGAAAACTTTCTATTTATTTTTCAAGATCAATAATTCCTTTGTTTCTTAGTTTGATCGTTGCAGAGAATAATAAAATTAAAATTATATGGTTAAAGTTTACAGTGACAAATTTTTTAGAATAGGCAAAGAAGAAAAAATGACACAAAGTTATAAGAGAGAAGAAGTTATAAAATTATGGAACATGTTCATGCACATAGTCATGTCCCCCCTATAGGCTATAGCTAGCCCGTAGCCCACACACTCCAAGTCCACAAGCCATCTTTTATAGAAAAAATTTTAGTGTACATTAGTTGTACACAAAACTCCCTTATTTGCATGTGTACAAAGACAATTCGTTTTAAAAAAACAAGATTTGATATCAAAACTCACTCAATTGCTTGTGTACACTGTACACATGGAATGTGTACATTTTGAGTACATAAAAAATGATTCACTTTTATAATGCAATAAGGGCTAGTAATGATGGGGTTTAACTTTGTACATAAATAATCTTCCTCCGTTCCATAAAAGTTGCAACATTGGAATTTCTGCACTATTCACACGCCTTACTTTGACTATGATTTTCTAATAATATATATAATAAAAATATTATGTATAAAATATTAATAAATTTGTATTAATGTAAATTTCCAATATATTAACTTTTTTTAATGTTTACTAATATCTAAGTAAATATAATTACATTCAAAGTTGCGCGTTGGCAAACGTGAAAGTCAAATTGTTGCAAATTTAATGAAACGGAGGATATTACATAGTACTATAATTCAAAGCAATTAAGCAAAGCTAATAATACCTTTTTAAAAATTTTACTCCCATTCGTATATAGTGCATCCGGGTATACGTACACCCGGCCCAAGTAAGAAAGACGGCCCAACCACTAATACAAGCCAAAAAAAATCGGTGGCATATTTGTAATTTAAGCGAAAATTCATGGCTTACGCTAAATGAGCAATATTGTACGTTTTGTGAGCATCCAACCTATTTTATTGAGTATTACGAGGCTAACAATGAGTAACACGATCTCAAATTCATATCTTCTAATTTTTGTTCTTTTTCTTATTTTTTCTTTTATAAAAGCCTATTAAATTATATCTATCATACACACTCTTATGAATTTCAATATGTGAATTTAGTGTAATATGATACTTTTGAAATATGCATTGATATGAAATTTTAAAATGAGCATAACATCAATACAAAATGAGCTTACATAACTTACAAAATGTTAATTGATTTGAAAATCGTAAAGTTTGTTAGTTTGACATAACGACATTTTCAATGAGCATCAAACCTTCTCTGTTGAGATAAAAATCACAGTTTCTGTTAAATGTGCATTAATGAACTTTTAATGTGCATCAAACTTATTATGAGTATTAAAACACTTTCAATGAGCATCACACTTATTCAGTTGAGTATTAGGAACCACTTACAAAAAGAGTATCGAAAAATCCAAATGTCATTTGAAATTGCTAATGTGCTCAAATCCTTATTTGTCTATACTCATTTCGTTTAAACATTATGCTCATTTGGCACGTGAGAGCGATGTGGCAAGGGTTGGATTGATTTGTGAGGTCAATCTGAGTGGAATGCAGTCTATATAGAGCATTAACGTTTTCCTATAGAATCTCTGCAACACCAGAGATGGAGGAAACACAACGAACTTCTCAGAGAAGATGACTGGTGCTCGTTGGGGTGATCTTTTCCGGTGGGATTACTGCTGAAAACATTTTAAAAATGAGCATAGCAAAGATACTAAATGAACATACATAATTTACAAAATGAGTATTCAAAAATTCAAAAGCTCGTTTGTATATGTTCATTTTTTAGGCATTTTACTCATTTGAGTTTAAGCTAAAACTCATTTCTAAAGTGCTCAGAGTAATATATAAAAAAATCAACAAATAAACAAATGAAAAGAAGTAAAAAATAAGACTAAACAAAATAAAGTAAAATCAAAAGCAAAGAAAAAGTCAAAAGCAAAAGAGAAAACTAGATGGCGGTTGTGCACACAGCAAAAAAGCAACATCTTGA